GCTAGGAGCATCAGATTCCAGTGTGGCTGGTCGGGTTTTAAAGCCCTGGCTCTGCAATACAAGGAGAAGGTAATTGGAGTCCCTGCAATGTTCCCCCACGGAGAAATAAGCGAAAAACCTCCAAAATTACGCACCGTCGGACCTCCACTGGGAGTGGTTTTAGCCCCCCTTCGCAGGCTAGGAGCATCATATCCCAGAGTGGATGGGTGGGTTTTAAAGCTCTGGTTCTGCCCTATAACTCGATACTTGAATGACATCTCTGTGACGTTCCTCCGCGGAGCTATAAGCAAAGTACCCACAACTTAGTGCATTTTACGCGCATTTTCAGGAGGAAATTTCAACTTTTGCCTGCTTCTCCTGTGGGCTCTGAGCATCGGATCCAGGAAAGTGAGATGAGAACGTTACGGTCTTCCTCTACAAACTGCAGGTGGTTGCAATTTCCTGGGACGTTCCCCCGCAGAGCTATTAACTAATGACCAGTCGAAAAAGGCACTTTGGCGGGTGATATAGTACTATATTTACTGCGGAACCTCTAGCGCCGGCTCTGAGCGTCAGATCCGATGGACCACTGCTCATTTTAAAGCTCTCGATCTCCGCTACAACCTGGAGGTGGTTACAAGTTCCTGTGACATTCCACCGCGGAGATATAAGCGATCAAATGTTGTCGGGTGAGCTCCGGTGGGTGAAACGGCTGATTTCCAGAAAGGGCTTCCAGCCCTCATAGCTCGCACGTTACAGTTAGTACTAATTGAAGGAGGTAAAAAAAGGTACTTTTTGTTCAAGCATCACTTTTCTGTTTCTCTGTCAGGAGTTAAGTAAGGATTTTATCTTTTTTTGTATGTAAATGTATGGTTAAGTAGATAGTTTTGTTTGACAATACTTTAAATTAAATAAAACTAGCAACACATTACGTTCTGTTTTAGTAACTTTAAAGAGTATCTTACCCCAAAATTAACTTTTTTTTAGCTAATAAACTGTCTAGAATGTGTCTAAAATGTTRTATAGTACTGTTTCTGTGCTAATTTTGATGTTTTTGTGCGTATTTGTTCAAATCTGTAATATTTGGTCTAAAAGCGTGTTTTTGCTGCTTGTATGGGTAGAGCAGTGGTACTGCAGGCTAATTTGCATATTGGTTAACGGCTCTCCACGGTGACGTGTCTTCTCCACGGTTTCGTCACAGCGGTTGTGTTCTGATATAAAAGCCTCTCTCTAAGACACGCCCCTGCAGCAGTCAGAGGGTGGAACAGTTAACAGTTAGCTTAGCATGATCGTCTGTTGACCTTCAGCCTCGGGTGGGGAGAGGAGCTGGCTGCTGTGCTTCTCTCTCTCCACACACACACACGCACACACGCACACACGCACACACACACACACACACACACACACA